TAGAATATATATATATATTTTTTTTTTCTGGTGGTAATGAAAATGGCTCCGCAGAATGCTGACTCGGAATCTATGCAAGTACAAGAGTTACCTGTGCCCCTGCCGAACCCACAGAAACCTGGAAACCGGGAGACCGAGAACCGAGATGAGACCATCAGTGAGGGGTCCATAGACCGAATCCCCATGCGCCTGTGGGTGATGCATGGGGCGGTGATGTTTGGCAGGGAGTTCTGTTACGCCATGGAAACGGCATTGGTCACACCCATACTGTTGCAGATTGGTAAGTGCTACGCACGTCACCATGTCCAGCATGGCACTGACCATGCTGCAGGTACTAGACCCGTTTTGTCCTCCAAAGCCTTGACTTGAGGCCCTAGTCCTCTCTCCTTTAACCTGCTATAAATTAGTCTCCTCCTCTGTTAAACCCAACCAGGGGGTATGTGGCCTTCTGGTGTCAATCTCTAGTCACAGTTTTGGCAAGACGGGTGGTTGGGCACGTGGATATTCTGGGTGTCAGTGGCTGCACTGGGACAAGGTACAGTGCCTGGCTTTGGGAAGCATGAGGCAGTGCTAGATTCTCTGTTGTCCTCTTTCTGTCATTATCATCCTTGGTTTCAGTTTTAATTCATTGTGATATTCAGGTGGTTGAATGACACTGGTTGCAAACCATGATTCACAGGGTTGCTTGGCTTGGCACAATGGAGCCCAGCCTGGTGACGGTGCTGCTGAACTTCCCAACTGCCGCTTGTGTGTGGCAGTGGGGCCAGAAGTTTTATCAAAAGGTTTAGCCTTCCCTGTGGTCTCAGAAGGTTTTGCAACTCTTTAGCCTCACAAGAGTTCTAGGTAAAGGAGCTAAGCCATTTAAGAGCTTCACTTTCATTCTAGAATTCCACACAGACAAGGTAAAATATTTTAAGAATTGATTTTGGTTGTTTTAGAAGTATTTCTTGCTGCAAATGTAACTGTTTTGTTCAGTGAGAGCTGCCCCAGCCCCATCGCATGTGCACATTGCAGTACATGGTTCTGCAGTCGAGGGCAGTGGCCTGTGAAGGTGTCAGTTTCTGTCTCAGGTCTCTAGTTCTCGTGCCTGCCCAGGTCTGTCACCAGACAAATTGGTGGAGACTACTCACCATGCTTTAGCATTTCCAATGTCAGGTTTCAGCACGCTCTTCCTTTTAGAATTCTGTGTGTTTCGTTACTTCTCTCCAAAGCCTTTGTCCTGAGAAGAATTCACCAAGTAGCCTGTGGGCTCAGACATTGACAAGATCAGGATCTCCTGGAGGGCTGGGAAGTTGTAGAGTGTGATGACTTTTAGGTCACTCTGTTCTTTCTTGTCACGGCGTTTCTTCTCTTGATCCTTGGTGCCACGTTTCTTCTCTTGATCCTTGGTGCCCTGTGCTAGGACACTGAGATGGACAGGTCACTATATCTGTCTTCGTGTGGCTTAGCCTGGTGGAGGAGGCAGAAACAACTTGCCAGATCCACAAGTACTACTTTAAAAGTAGCCTGAGGGAAAGAAACAAAGACCCCCACCATCATCAAGATGGAGACACCAGATTCTCCCAGGAAGGGAACAAGGTGGTGTGCCCAGAGGGAGGGCCTCAGTGTGTCCACGGAGTTAAAGATCACCTTTGTGGCTGGCTCCAGTGGGAGGGGAGTGGGATGTGAGCAAGGTCACCTGATGTTTATTTTGTCCTCTCGATGTCTAAGGACTTGCATCCAGTCATACTCAAACCACTGTCTAGTGAAGCTGGTTAGAGTTGGACCTGTCTTCCAGTTCTGGACTGCCTCTTACGGTTATGGTGACTGCTGAGTGATTGACCCTGTACACAGATGTCCGGGAACTCTGCGCCCACATTTTCTTTGTTATAGGCTTTGAAACTGACACGCACAACTCCTTGGAATTTTCACACTTTCTGGGTTGTGAACCTCAATTCCTTGCAACTTTTAGCACACTTCATTGTTTGACTTTGAGTACCGTAAGTCCCTGATTTTACTAACAAATAGTTGAGTTGTGAACTTTCACAGGTATACTGTATATGACTCACTTTGTCAGATTACAGACGAATCTGACTTAGGAATGTTCTTCCGGAATGGAACTTGTTCATAAATTGGGGACTTACTAATAGTTATTACATGAGACTTGTATAATTTCAGGTAACCAAGGATAGTTAGTGTGTGTTTTAAAATATATTGAAAGTAGCTTTCCTGAGTTCTAGGCATGTCTGCTCTATATCAAATTCCAGAAATGATGACTGAAATAGGTGAATTGTAATAAAGGAGTAGGCCGTGGCAATCTGACCTGAAGGGATGACAGTATCCTGTATCGGCCCCAAACTGCGTAACTCACATAAACCTGCATACGCAGTCTGTGTGTAACAGGACTTGTGGGTAGGGCTGGCCCTGGGGATTGAACCAAGGCCCTTCCCAATGAGTTACACCCCCAACCCCTCCCCACCTTTTTTAAGACAAGGACTCACTAATGGCTGAGTTGCCCAGGCTAGGCTCAAACTTCCAGTCTTTCTGCCTCAGCCTCCCAGAGTGCTGGGATTACAGGCATGTCCCCACAGTTCTGCCTATAATTTGTGCTTTAAATAATTGAATGATAGCAAGTCTGCTCTTTCTCATTCAAAAGATTGATTCCCCAGGAAAAACTTTCTCATTGAAAACTCAAAAGGAGAAAACACGAAGAAGTGGGTCAGTTCGGACTTTGCCACCATAAAAGGTTGTAGGGCAATGTGCTCAATTCAGGAGTAGTCAGCTGAGATATGCAGAAGATAGTCTATCTCTGACAATGGTGAACTTGTTCCTGTGATGGGTGTGCTATTCCCAGTTGATAAGTTGTCTTTTGTTCTTAAAATGTCAGTGGTAGCACTGCTTGACAAGCCCAGTTAGGGGTTTGTGCCTCATCACTTCCCCCCACAGTGACTCCTCTCCTGTAAACAGAGGCTGTTGGGGTGCCCCACGGTGAGGAAGTCCCTCCTGCTCACTGCCCATTATCTTGTGGCTGTTGAGGACCCATGACTGCTGACATCTGTGTGGTACGCTGTTTCCTAGGCCTAGGCGGAAGGAGGCCCTTGATGGCAGAGGAGGTGGTGGATGTGACCAGGAGAGCAGGGTTGGGCCTTAACAGGACTGGCTTCCTTTCTGAGTCCTGCACACTTGAAACTTGGCTGTCTGTGAAAAGGACGTTTGCACCAGAGGGTGACCTTGTGCATGCAGGGAGGGTATGGTCAACACTGTCAGATGAGCAGTCTGGGCTTGGCACCTTGGAGCAGCCTTGCCTTTGGTTTCTAAGCCTTCACTTGCAGGGGAAACTTTTAAGATTTCCTTTCTTTCCTTTTTCTTTTTCCTTCCTTCCCTTCCCCTTCTCCCTCCATCCCTCTCTTCCTTCTTCTTTCCCTTCTTTTCTTCTTCTTTCTCTTTGTCCACCCTACTACCCAATAGTGGGGAGTGAACCCAAGGCCTTCTTTTTGTTTTGTGTGTGTGTGTGTGTGTGTGTGTGTGTGTGTGTGTGTGAGAGAGAAACAGGGTCTCACCTAGCCTCAGTTGATCTGTTTTTCTTAAATTGAGAACATTTTTCCCCAATTCAGAGTTCAAAAGTTACATTGAGTTGGACAGTGAAGTCTTTTCGCATTCCTGTTGTCCAGCCATTTGAGTCCCATCCTGTTTCTCCTGGCTCCTACATGGGATACTTGCTAGTCAGGCATCTGTGCCTCTTCTCTGTCCCCCAGAGTGACTCTTGTAAAGCATCCCCAGCATATTGTGAAGCTGATTCCATGCCAGAGAAGAAAGTTTGCTCTCTATCTTCAGAGCTGCTTGTTGATCTGCACCTGGCAGTGGGCCTCTATGGCTGTGTCTAGGAGTGTCCCTGGCTGGCCTTGCCGTGGACTGTCCCTCGTCTTAGTTACTTTCTCATAACAGGGACAAAATACCTGACACCCACAAATTGAAGGAGGAAAGGTTTATTTTAGCTCACAGTTTACAGAGGTTTCAGTCCATAGTCAAATTCAGGGTAGAGCAGCATGGTCAGTGAACATGGCAGAGGAGAAAAAGTTCATGAGAGGAAGGCAGGAAGCAACCAGACTTTTTTCTTCTTTCCCTTTTTGTGCCTTCCATGCTACAAGTGGCTTAGTTGGTGCCATTCACACCCAGAATGGGTCTTCCCTGTTCAGTAAATCCATAATCCACACCCAAAATTATGCTACACCAATCATTGGAAGAAATCATTATCACACACCCATGTTACAGTATCAGACCCATGATTCATCCAGTCAACTCCCAAAAGCCCCACCTATGAACAAATGATACTTCAGTGGGACATCTAAATATAAACCATAACATTCCTTCAGTCAGTACCACTGCTTCCTTGCCTATTTGAGATGCCACTGTTCCTATGGACTAAATTTCTATACCATTTATTGAATGGTTCAGCTTTTGGAAGAGACTCTAGGATTCATATTGAGACAGAGTAGCACCTAAAATCCTGTTTTGTTTTTGTTTTTGTTGGTGTCAGAATGGTTTTTGATGATGGGGCCTACTGTCCTGCTCTAGAGAACAGAGGAGGTGAGGCGTGACACTGGGTACTGTGGGGAGGTCTGGAAGGTAGAGGGAGGACCCTGAGAAGTTCCCTGGTGCACACCTTACCCTCCACAGCTGGTGATGGATGTGCCATTTACACATCACTACAGTTGCAGAGCAGGTGACGATTCTGGCAGCTCAGTGTCCTGTTAGAATAGATGGCCACATTTAGCAGAAAGGCAGCAACTCTGAGTCAGCTCGCCTCTGGACACCCTCCCGTGCTGGTTCCCATGTAGTCTTTTTCCCTTGAGAAGGAGAATCCAGCCTCCCCTCCACTTATTGTTTCCCTCTTGGCTCAGGAAGTATACTCAGGGGAAAAGGAATGTCAGATAACAGAGAAAGGACAGCTTTTATTGCTGCTTTGGGTTTGACTCATGAACAAGAGCTGGGTTAGTGTAGGGGAACATGCCAGTTCCCCTCCTTGGCAAAAGCCCAGTGCAGCAGTATATAGGAATTGTCAGGCAGTGGCTGCAGACTTACTTATGGGGAAAGTCGGATTTATTCCCTCCTACATGCAGAAGGTGGAGGATAATGACCAGGGCTTATGTCCACTTTGTGAATGTCCACTGAGTTAGGAACACCAGACTTTTCCACTCCGTGTGGCAGCGTCTTGTGATCAGAGTTCCTAGGGCATGGTCTGCTCTAACTGGAAGTTTGCATTTGCTCCTGTAGGAAAAGCTTGCCCTTTGAAAACCATTC